GGGTCTAGTAAATGCTGCAACAAACTGTTAAAAGGAGTTAAAGTACATCAGGATTAAAATTGCACAGGAACCCATGCCCCAAAATGTCGTCATACGCCGTCAGGGAGCTAACCTACTATGAACTGTTTCTTTGTGTGCTTCTGAAGAGGTCATTCTGAGAGGATGCGCCCCTTGCCGCATACGACAGCATTTCTGGGAATGGGTTCCTTTTCAATTTCAATCCTGATGTTGCACCCTAACTCCCTTACTTTCTCGCGATATTCACGCAACCCCTGTTATATATAACCTTTTAAAAACTTGTATAATTTGACAAAAAATGGACTGAAAATGTCTTTTAAAAAAGAGCCTTAAGAACAAAACTAACTTTAAATTTGAAATCCCCACACCAGAATTAGGCAGGATCTAGTATTTGTATAAAGGCAAAATAAATAAATAAATAAATAAATAAAAGAAAAGATGAAGAAAAAAAATAATAGTGCTCTAGTGTTATTAATTGAAATTTTAAAACTACACTCATTTTATTTATTTAATAAGTATTTTTCTTGAAGACTCAAAAAATACATCAATAAAACAACTTAATATTATAATGCTTTTAATAATAACTATAAAAGTTGTCAGCTAACTATATCTTAAATCGTAAAAAAATTAAGTTAAAAAATAAAACAATAAACAGTCTTTTTGAACATCGATCATTTACTGCAATTCAGATTGTGAAAAGGCACTAACAACAATAAAAAATATTGGATGATTTGGCATGCTTGAAATACAAAAGATGATATTTTAGAAACGGTTATTATGTCTTATTCATGATCAATAACTTAAACAGGAAAGATTAAAATAACGGGTAATGTTATTTATTGGTTCAATTGTTATATCCTTCATTCTAAATTACAAGATTTATTCAACACCAACAAGGGCGCCGCGAACTTTTTATGCTTGGGAGCGGGAAAATTCATACTTTTCCGAATGAAATTCTCAATTTAACTAAATCATAAATGAACGCTGAACGCGTGCAATCAAAAGCATAAAGAGCCGCTCTAAAGAAATATAT